CAGTTTGGTGGCTGTCAGGGCCCACAGACCCCTGTGAAATCCTAGCCAGCTCCTAATGACCCTGGTGGCAGTGAGGAAGTGGTGCCTTCAAGGTGTCCTCTGGTTCTGCTGGATGCTCCAAAGCTGGAGGCTTTGTGCACCTTGCTTATGTTGGCAGCTTTGGTGTCTCCATGGATCTGCCACCAGACTGGATAACCTAAGCCCTTTCGAATTCACCCTCAGTAGGTGCCAATGCCAGCCCCTCCCAGACTCTGGGTTCTAGCAGGTCCAGGTAGAGATACCTCCCAAACTCCTCAAAACAACTCACACCTAGAGAATGGCTCACTGCCTAGCATTCTGCTCCCTCAGTCTGGTCCTCCATCTCTTCCAGGTTGATTACCTCAATGGTCACCACCTCCTCCAAGCAACTGCCAACTTCCTGACACCTTTCTCAATCTGACAGGCTTGAGGAACAGTTCTCAGGACCCACATGTGATATCTGACAGGCAAACTTCCTGCACACAGCTGAGCTCTCCCACTGTTCACAAAAAACCTCAAACAACTCCAGAAAGCACTTAGATTCCACCTCTGATGCCCAACATCAGGCACAGCCTAGAATATGCAGATGGGATCAAAAGGAGTCAGGAGGTGCTGTAACACATTATGTTCTTGCAGCAGCCATTTATGTGCATTGTGGATTTTGTAATCTAGTCACACACGCACTGAACAACGAATGATCTCCCAGCATGTGCACACGCAGTAGATTGTATTCTTTGTGGAGGGATGATCTTCCTGTTGACAGCCTTTACTTACTTGCTGTGTAACTTAGGGAAAGTCAAGTGCTTCTCTCTCCTTACCTGAAAGTGATGGACAGACAGGAGGAAGGACTGAACTTTTGCCAGCAGATCTACCTGCTCTAGATTTTGTTCAACGAGGGTGAATATCCTCTGTCTTTGCAAGGATGTGGAGATGGCTGCCATCATGGGACAGCGCAGAGGCCACCTGTGCCCAAGAAGTCCATTGGTCCAGACTGCCACCCCTCTTCAGAGCTAGCACTTACTGTGTAGGTCTAGCAGAAGCTGTGGCTCCACGTCCAAAGCTGAGACCCCATCAAAAACTCCAGGAAAAGGAGCTGATTTCCTGTACTTGCCGATGGTGGACATCTGTCTGAGAAAAGACACTGGGTTTGGGGACAGACTGGCCCCACAGCCAGTGTCTGCTAAAACGAATTCCCACTTAAGGGGGATTTCTGTCAAACCAAAGGGAAGGGGCGACTTCCCAGCTTGTTTTTTAGAAGGGAGCCCCCGGGGGCCTGGAGCAGGGCCAAGAGTTCTGGCGAGTGAAAAGCTCTGGCTCCCACTAGAGGGCCCCTGGCCCTTGAGACAGCCCGTGGGCAGCCCGCCGAGCTAGTCCATCCTGAAGGTCCGCTCCTGCGCCCCCCGCAGAACTTCCCTGCTTGGTGTGGCCCCAGCCTGTTCAGCGCGCACCCAGGCGAGGCTGCGATCGGCGCCCCCACCCCACCACGGGCCCCCAGGAGTAACAAGCAGGCCTCTTTCCTCCGGGGCGGACGTGAGCGCCAGAGTCCTCCTTGCTGAGCCAACAGGCGGCTGGAGCCATACGAAGCGCATTAACTATTAATAATTTCCAGTTGTTTGCTTGCTCCCCTAGGCCTCTGCAGGCTGGGACTGGCTCCCCTGGACTGTCAGCTCTGGAGACATTAGTGCCTGCCGGGCTCCACCGGGGAGGGACAAGGGGTCACCGCCTCCCCCAGGCGCAGGCTCGAGAGGGGCTTCCGCGTCCGCTCGTGGCGGGGTAGGGGGGCAGGCCGGGCCGGGGAGCCTGGCCCGCCGGCCGCGAGGCTCGTATTGTGCCCTTCGCGCGCGGCGATTGGCGCCCAAGGCGAGCGCAGCACCCGCGGCAC